CTGTTTTAAACCATATAGAGATTTCATTCATTTGTAAACTTTATATTCATGTTCTTTCACCTGAAAACCTTCAGGTTATTGCATATATATTGCTTGCTTTAACTCTTCGTTAAGGAATGCAGTTTTAACATCCATTTGGAATAACTCCAAATTAAGATATGTAACAATAGTCAAAATAATTCTAATGGATGCAAATTTAGCTACAGGAGAATACGTCTCCTGAAAATCTATTCCTGCCTTCTGGTTATAACCTTTGACAACTAACCGTGCTTTGAATTTATCAATAGATCCATCAACACGATATTTCTTTTTGAGCACCTATTTGCATCATATGGCTTTGAAAAAAAATGGAATGTGATAGGAAATAATGGCTATGAAAGATGTAGGTTAGATCTAGGACCGGCTCTAGAACCGAAAAATAATGGAGGAAGGTCTGTTGCTAGATATAGAATAGGCTATGCCTTGTAGATAGAGTGGCTTTTGGGTGGTTGATTGATTGCTGGTTGTAGGACCGAAAAGCAAAAGAGATGTAGCCTTAACAAATAAAAAAAATGTGACAAGACTTGCCTAGAGTGGCCTTTGGGGCTGGTTGATAGACTGCGGGTTGAAGATTGGATGTAGGACCGAAAAGCAAAAGAGATGTAGCCTTAACAAATTAAAAAAAATGTGACAAGACTTGCCTAGTAGGCTATCTAGAATGCTTTCTTTACTTCTTCTGCCGAATGCTCCTTCTTCTTCTTCAACAGGGTGCTTCTTTCTTCAAGAACTAGAAAAATGGAGAGAGAAAACTTGGCTCTAATACCAGTGTTTGAATTCAAAGAAGAAGAAAGAACAGATTTTGAGGGGCTCCGGTAATGGGTAAGTGAGTTTTCTTTTTATTTTCGTTGTGTTTTTCTCAAGGAGAATGGTCCTCCTTATATAGGGGTTTAACCCATCATCTCTACCCCTCAGATCCGCCCCCATGAGAGATTTTCTCTCAACCACACATGATTCACGTTCTCCACCATTCTCTCAACAGAGAAACAGTGGTTGATTTGGTCATCAATGACCAAGTCAAGCTAACATCTCCCACTTGACCAGATTAACCAAGTGACATGTCTCCTACTATCCGTGAGATCGGATGTTTCTGCTTACCATTACTCCCACTATCCGTAAAGAGTAACTTTTATTTCATTATTCATGAAATTTTACTTGACTTATTTATCCCTAAGTCCCATCAAACTTACATGTTTGATAAAAGATTCCGCTGGTATTCCTTTGTCAAAGGAACAACAATCATATCTGTAGTAGGGATATAAGTCACTTTAACTTCTCATTTTTCTACAATATCTCGAATATAGTGATACTGGATCTCAATATGTTTTTCTTTGGAGCTATTCGCACCACTATTGATTAAGCTAATTGCTGCTTGATTATCACAATAAATATCAATAGGTCCTTCTAACAAATTAAGATCAAGATCAATCAAAAACCGTCTTATCCAGACAGCATGTGTAGTTGTCATACTGTAAGCTATATATTCAGCTTCTTGCGTATATCTAGCAACACACCCTTGTTTCTTGCTACTCCAAAAAACAGCTCATCCTTCAAAGATAAATAAGTATCCCGAAGTGGACTTTCCATCATCTTTATCACCTCTGAAATCAGCATCGGAATAACCGAGGAGTTCAAGCGAATCAGCTTGATAAACTAATCTATGAGTCAATGTACCTCTAATATACTTCATAATCCTTTTAACAGCTTCCCAATGTGCTGGTCCTGGATTACTTTGATATCTACTGACAAGACTTACAGCATAAGCTATATCAGGTCTAGTGCACAACATTGCATACATCAAGCTTCCAATTGCTTGAGCATAAGGAACATCTAATGGCTTCTGCCCCTCTCCAGGGCTTTGCTCTTTACATAATCTCTTTCCCATAACCAACAGAGTTAGTGTCGGATTGGAATTTTTCATTCCAAACCTTTTAAGAACTGATCTTAAATATTTTTCTTGGTTTAAACTTAGCATTCTAGACTTTCTATCTCGAATTATTTGAATTCCAAGAATATATGATGCATCTCCCATGTCTTTCAACTCAAACTTCTCGCTGAGATCTGTCTTGGTTTTATTCAACATTTCTATGTCATTTTCAGCGAATAATATATCATCCACATATAAGGATAATATAATTAACTTGCTTCCACTTTTCAAGACATATACACAATTATCTAATTTATTTTGAATAAAACCAAATTTAGTAACTGCATCAAGAAATTTGAGATACCATTGTCTAGAAGACTGTTTTAAACCATATAGAGATTTTATTAATTTGTAAATTTTATGTTCCTGTTCTTTCACCTGAAAACCTTCAGGTTGTTGCATATATATTGCTTCCTTTAACTCTCCGTTAAGGAATACAGTTTTAACATCCATTTGGAATAACTCCAAATCAAGATATGCAACAATAGCCAAAATAATTGTAATGGATACAAATTTAGCTACAGAAGAATACGTCTCCTGAAAATCTATTCCTGCCTTCTGGTTATAACCTTTGACAACTAACCGTGCTTTGAAAGAATACGTCTCCTGAAAATCTATTCCTGCCTTCTGGTTATAACCTTTGACAACTAACCGTGCTTTGAATTTATCAATAGATCCATCAACACGATATTTCTTTTTGAGCACCCATTTGCATCCTATGGCTTTGAAAAAAAATGGGATGTGATAGGAAATAATGGCTATGAAAGATGTAGGTTAGATCTAGGACCGGCTCTAGAACCGAAAAATAATGTGATAGGAAATAATGGCTATGAAAGATGTAGGTTAGATCTAGGACCGGCTCTAGAACCGAAAAATAATGGAGGAAGGTCTGTTGCTAGATATAGAATAGGCTATGCCTTGTAGATAGAATGGCTTTTGGGTGGTTAATAGACTGTTGGTTGTAGGACCGAAAAGCAAAAGAGATGTAGCCTTAACAAATAAAAAAAATGTGACAAGACTTGCCTAGAGTGGCCTTTGGGGCTGGTTGATAGACTGCTGGTTGAAGATTGGATGTAGGACCGAAAAGCAAAAGAGATGTAGCCTTAACAAATTAAAAAAAAATGTGACAATACTTGCCTAGTAGGCTATCTAGAATGCTTTCTTTACTTCTTCTGCCGAATGCTCCTTCTTCTTCTTCTTCAACAGGGTGCTTCTTTCTTCAAGAACTAGAAAATTGGAGAGAGAAAACTTGCCTCTAATACCAGTGTTTGAATTCAAAGAAGAAGAAAGAACAGATTTTGAGGGGCTCCGGTAATGGGTAAGTGGGTTTTCTTTTGATTTTCGTTTTGTTTTTCTCAAGGAGAATGGTCCTCCTTATATAGGGGTTTAACTCATCATCTCTACCCCTTAGATCCGCTCCCATGAGAGATTTTCTCTCAACCACCCATGATTCACGTTCTCCACCATTCTTTCAACAGAGAAACAGTGGTTGATTTGATCATCAATGACCAAGTCAAGCTAACAAGCTCAAGTCGTTAGTGTGGTAAGTAGATATCTCTCTTGTCCCGGAAAAGGACATTAGGAAGCGGTAAAGTGGATCTTCCGCTATTTGAGAGGTACTATTGATGCTCGGTTGGAGTTTGGCAATGGCAAGGCACTAACGGGTTTTGTGGATGCGGATTTTGCAGGTGATTTAGACAAGAGACGTTCTTTGACGGGTTATGTTTTTACCCTTGGAGATTGTGCAATTAGTTGGAAGTCTACACTTCAAGCAACCGTTGCACTCTCAAGTATCGAGACCAAATACATGGCAATTACCGAGGCTATTAGGCTCAAGGCGTTTGTTGGTGAGTTGTCTTCTTTCGAGGGTCCTATTACGGTGTTTTGTGATAACCAAAGCACGATACATTTGACCAAGGACCGCATGTATCATGAGAAGACGAAGCACATTGACATTCAGTACCATTTTGTTCGAGATGTGATCTCGGAAGGCAAGGTTGTCGTGAAGAAAATTGGTACCGAGTCGAATCCGGCTGATATGCTCACAAAGCCTCTTCCAATTGCAAAGTTCAAGCTTTGTTCAAGTTTGGTGTCGGTTTGTTTCTAATTAGTTTGAGCTAGTTTTATTTCTAGCATGTTGCTAGTGTATCTTTATGTTTACCTTTGTTTAGGTTATGTTTGTTTTATGCATTTGCTTTATGTTTTTAGTTTGTTTTAGATGCAATTTGGTTCAAGGCGGAGATTGTTATGTTTTGACCCAAATTGCTATTCGGGCCCATTGGGCTTTGTATCTTTAATATGTAGACTCTTTTGTATGAGAAATATTTAAGTCTAATATAATTCACCATTTGAGTTGTCTTCTTGTCTCTCTGGCTCTCTTCCTCTTCTTCTCAAAATCCTCTTCAAAAGCCTAACAGTAAGTGTGATGACACTCAATCTGAGTGCAGCTGCAACTACATGATTTACAACCTAAAATGTAATGCAACCACAATGCATTGCTTTTAAAACAAGGGTTAACGATTCATAATAAAAAAGAAGGGTTAATTTTGGATAGAACACCCCCCCCCACCCCTACCCCTTGTTTTATTTGTTGTGGATAGCCCCCCGGACCCCTTGTCTTGTTGTTCTATTTGTTGTGGATAGCCCCCTTGTACTATCATCAAACTACAAACACACCCCCTAAGTGAAATATCCTTTTAACTCTTTTACCCTCAAGCGGTCAACCTGTCAAAAAACAATTTTCATTTTCTCTGCGTGCAAAGGGCCACCTAGTGCACAAGGCTCCTATCATCGTGGGCTTTGGGAGGGGTCCAATACACAGAGCCTTACCCCTGCATGCAAAGAGACTATTTCTGGGACTTGAACCCCTAGCCTCCAGGTCACAAGGCAGCAACAGGGTGTCTATCTGCTATTAACCCTAAAAACGATAACCACAGAATGGTAGGCTTTTTTACCCTTTCTAATTACACTGTAGTTGGAGCAATGTGTGAATCCAACAAATACCAACATAATAATTATGGGAAAGATGCAGACTGATGAAGAAAAGCCAAGATACATTCTCACCTGATGAGATAGTTGGCAGCTTGTTGAGTCACTTGAACTGCATCTTCACTATGAGGAATGCTTGATGATGCCCATTCAAATGCATTTTTCTGCAGGAAGCCAAACCATACTAGAAAATATAGAAATGTTTTTCAAATGTATAGGAAAAAAATTTAGCCGAAAAACAAGATCTATGAGCTTGGACGGGTATCACCGTATCAGATATTAACAACCAAGATAAGAGTAAGAACAAAAATTTGACGACATGATAATAGAACAGGCCATATGTGTGAATTTTAAATTCTTTTGGATATAGTTTTTGTAGTTCATCATAAATTCTCTCTTTGCACTAGTTCTACAACAACCACTCTTTTAAACGAGAATAAGAAAAACCTTATGTTTAAGGATGTATATATTATGGCTAACTGGTCAAAGCATTACCTCAGGGTGCCACTGGAAGCCAGTAACAGGGTAATTAATCCCTTGTGCAGTTGAAATGTAAATCTGATGAAAAGAGTAAACATCTACATTAAATAAAAGACCACAAAGAAGTTATTGTTAGAGTAAAGAATTACCACACTGTTATTTTACCTTGCCCTCTTCATCAGGAGTTGTTGTCAGGATCCTAAAGAAACTCGACAGGGCATCATTTTCTTGCAACCGTTCAGGAGATATACCAAACTTGCGCAATTAATGAAGAAATGTTAGGCTTTGGCCATGAATAATCTGACATTGAGGTACATTGAGGGTTGCAATTTTGATTAACTTATAGGGCATCATGAGATAAACGAGAATAGAGAAACACCAATAGGCACATGCAAGATTTTAAATAAACCTTCTGTAGTTGTAAACTAAATATTTTTTCGCTATCAGATGCAAGATCTCTCTCAAGGGAAGCATTCAAGAAAACACAAGCATAGATATAAGTCTCATATAATCAAAGGCAAAAAAAAAAAAAAAAAAAAAAAAAAAAAAAAAAAAAAGAAGAAGAAGAAGAAGAAGAGGTAAAGTCTGCTTTTAAATACTGTACACATTTGCTCTCATAGATCTTACCATATGATTTTGCAGGGCAAGACATTCCGTACTCATCTTTCTTAGCAATTCCGGAGGAAATCTGCACAGGCAAAATTAACTAATGATCACATAAACCATGGCATAAAAGAATTTACAGATTGATATCTACAAATTAATCTAGGCACTAAGTAGGAGAAATGGAAGAGAAAATAGACATTAATAATGATATTGACTGAACATCTTAAGTAGTAACCTCTTCTGAGAAGCCGTCTTGAGTAAAAAATATTGAACCAAAAGAGACTCTTAAAACTAGAAAAGGTTGTTCATGTCATTTGGTGGGTCTTGTTCTGAAGATGAACATTCTTCATGGTTAAAGATTTATGCGAAGAAGTAACTGAAAAAGATTTGTAGTCCACAAAAACTAATATAAAAAATGAAGACACATTAAAACTTGATACCTTTCAAAAACAGATCCTTGAATATTTGCAATATCTGTGAACTGAAGCATAGACGCTTGATTTTTTCCACTAAACCTCTCACATATATCATGATCCTGCAATTAAAAAATAATCATAGGAAGCAAAAAAGGTAAGGATAAGATACTTGTCAATTGCTCATTAGACAATCATAACATTTGAAAACGCCAATTACAACATACAGTAATCTCTCCACTTTCTTTGCAATCAAGCAAGGATGAAACATAGAGATCATGAAATAAGTACTAGTTCTTCACAACTATTTTAAAGAACAAGGGAAGAGATATTTGCTACAAAATTCTTCCATACTAGATGGTGACAGACACAGGAAAAGGTTATGTGGTAGAATGTTTACCTGCTTACTATGAGATAGTGAGTTACAATACTCTAGATATTTTGGAACCGTTGAATTCATTGTAGAATGATTCCTATATCGAAATAGCGTATACTCCTATTTTTTTTCTTTTTTTGGATATCCCCTCTCGTTTCATCTCTATTGTATGAACCATATTTGTTTCAATCCGAAATGATTCTATCATTGATATATCCGCAATTCAATATAGATAGATATATCCCACATATATATATGTCTCCCTCTCCTTTCAGTTTTACAGCGCGCTTTGTAATACTGGAAGGGTCGATATTCTTTCTTCTTTTGTTTCGTCTTATATCCTCCTTTTTTGAACGAAATCGGAGGAATGTCTGATTAGATTTTTGATTGTTGTATCTTTATCCTTATCTTATACTTTTCTTAGGACCGATCCGCTATACTATAATATAAATATAGTATTAACAGAATTATAGTATTAACAGAATTTGTTATAACTATTCTCTCAAATCTCAAAAATTTTATTTTCCATTTATAAATATTATTATTATATAAATTATTATATAAAAAAAAATGAAAAATAATCTAAATTCTAAAAATATGAAAATAAGATAGAATGTATATTATCTATGGTAATTATGTATCATAATAGAATGAAAATTCTAGCTAGTCAGATATTTCCATTAATTAGAATAGAATTCGATTTTTATTTAGTTTTATTTAGTGATATTATAATTATATATATATAATGTTATATATTTATTATATAAAAAAAATTAGTCATATTATTTAGTATTTGAAAGAATTATGAACTATATAGTATAGTTCATATTAAATTAACTTAAATTCTTAGCTAATAGAAAAGATCCGGTAGTTTCTTGAATTTATAATTATACATTATTTTGTTTCTGTTTTTGTTATCTGAGCCCGTAAAAATAGAATCTAATATGCTTTTCAAACAAAAAAGTTAAAATTTCTTTGTTTGAAGAATTTCCCATTTTTTATAATATAAAAGAAAAATAGAAATTAAGTTATATTCAAAGTTAATTGAATAATGGTATAGAAACTAAGTTATATGTCAAAGAAAAATAGAAATGGATCCCAAATTTCGAATGTCTGATCCCTTTAATCTAGTCTAATGTCCTTTTCGAGAGGTAGACGAAATGCATCTCAGATACATCATGAGAGAATTAATGTCTGATCCCCAAGGACAAATGATTGACTTATGAAATAGGATCTACACAAGGAAAAGCGCTTGCCATTTGTTGGTTATTAGTGACATCCCGAAAACGCCCACATCGAAATTATGTTCCGAATTAGTAGATGTTGGATTTCAAATTAAGTTCTAAATTAGTAGATGCTGCCAAAGGGAGTTGTGATGTCATACACAAAAAGAAAAAGACTCAGGTAGCTCAGTTGGAAGAGCATAGGATTGAAAATCTTCCTGTCACCAGTTCAAATCTTGTTCCTGATACATGAATAATATATCGAAAAGATATATCCATAATAATTACAAAACATGTTAGAACACAGATTAATGGTCTAGAACACGATACATATTTATTCATCGAGATGTGTTGGATAGGAAAAGACATGATACATTTCATATCATACACAGTACAAAGAAAATCCACTCTTTTGTCATTTAGTATCGTATTTATTTATGCTATTTCTTCACTCTTGCTTACGCAGTACTTCCCCACGATTCCTATCTAGTGTATGCTCCTATTCGCTGATTAAAGAAATGACTATGAAAAACGAGCTAATCCTTTATTTATTTTAGAGTATCCTCTCTCTGTCTCTGAGTCTCTGACAAAGAAGAAGAGAAACTAAAGAAAAGAAATGGAATGAGAAAAGTGAAGAATAAGAATATGCTATAAATCCCTAGTCATTTTACCCTAATGGAAATGAAATAACAATTAATTAACTTAAATTATTAATTAACTTAATAATATTATAGTTATATTTATAACATAACTATATATAATATATATAACATAGTTAAATAAAATTAACTATAAAATCATAGTTATAGTACATACCATATTATTAGTATTACTATTATTTATTAATATATATACTATATATACTATTTTATTATTTGTTATTTTTTGCATTAAGTTACTTTATTTGATTTAGTATTTTTATTTTATTTTGTATTTAATTACTTTTTACCGTGTTTGTTTTGTTTTTAGGGAGAAACCAAGACGGTGTAAGAGAGTTCTGTGTGTGTACATATGTATGTATGTATGTATATATACATACATACATGTACATATATATCCATTACTCAAAGTTAGCTTAGCTTTAATAGAGAAGTTACAGAACGGACTGCAGAAGCTGCACTTTGTATAAGATAGAATAGGATATTGTCAAATTGTTGAAGAAAATAGCACATCGAGCATCAAACAAATATGAATCAGTGTAAATGCTTATATAGAGCATATCAGGGACAACAATGGAGATATAGGTCATCAAATAATAAACATCTCTGACCTATTTGCATCTATTACACTTGGAAAGTCCTACCATTGTAGATGGGGAAATTCCCAAGGAACAAACCTCATACATCATGACATACAACTTTAGGGGAAAGCAGAGCTGGAACGGGATTGAATTGAATGCCAAGGCAACAAAATTTCCTGCTCGAATTTGTTTCTCATGACCTGAGCCCAGGTTCAAATGTTTCTTTGGATCTGATGTTTCTTTTACCAAAATAAGTTTTAATTTTATTTGAACAAAACAGTTTGCAAATTATTTAATTAAAGAGGTCTTTTTATTATTAAAAAATAAATTCCCATGATTGTTTGGAGTCAGGCCATTGCTTATAAATATTATCATCTGAGAAATTTCAAATAATAACATATGATCATCTATTTACATATCCAAATATGCAAACACACATTAAATGAATATTTTATAATCAAAAACCAAATATATGAATGATCAGATTATCTCAGTAGATGAATATTGAAACATGTTTGCTTTCGTCTATATGATCAACCAAATCAAATTTGAAACAAATATTTAAGAGATCAAAAAAATATGTCAACTCCTAGTCCTTTTGGAAACAATGTACATGCTTGAGTTAATTACAAGAATAAGAACCATAACGAAAAGTTTACCTTGGTGATCATCATACTTATAATCTCAAATCCTAAGCAAATGCCAAATAAAGGAAAATGTTCCCCTGCGTCATTTCTCTCCAATGTTTTCTGAGGAAACGACAAAAAGAAAAAATGATGAACATTTTATGGTTAATGCTATGAGGCTCAGTAGCTATTTCCAGAATAAACTGCACATGAACAAAAGACCTAGTGAAGATATATAATTTTCAACGTTGCCGGTGTGTTACAAATTTAACTTTCAAGCAACATGAATTTATCACCCATGAATCTAAATGACTAAACAAAAAGGCCTAAAGATTTAAGGTCATATTTATCAGCAAACTTGTCCGTATGTGTGTACTCACACCAATGTCTCATACGTCAAGAAAACATCAACCATCTAGCAATCATATGAGTACTAAAAGGAAATCAGCAATTCTGTTAGAAAAAATAGTATGCCCACAGAAGACAAGAAAACTAATAAAATTAAACATGTTAAATCAAGGAATTTTCTCTTTCTTTAAGATAGTATTTGTTTCCTACACAATGTTACAACAAATCTGTCTCTCTAGATTCAATGTTGGTTTGTAGTCCAACTAACTCAGCCTTCAAATACATAAATAAACTCGAAGAAAACACCAGTATAGGGACGAAACAAAAAGATGTCAACGAGTAGATTGGAATGAAGAAGGCTGCACAATTTACAGTTCAAGGTTAAACTTTCCACATGTCTACTCCAAGGTACATGGTCATTCTAACATATATTATCGTTATCGCATCAGATGGAAAGCAAGTTATCATTTGGAATCGCATTACCAAGAATATGAAGTTCAAGCACTGAATCCATGGGAATGTTGTGTTACTGTTTCATGCATGGTTGTCGGGAATGCGGTCCACTATAGCAAAACATGACTGGGTTCAATCATCCTGGAACGCAGTATGCTAGCAAACAAGGTAGCATACCCCGCGACCTGATTTTGAATTCAAATTAGTTTTCTTTTTTTCCTTTTTGGGGAGAGAAAGATAAACAACAAAAAACGTACCATTATTGCCACTTAAGAATTCTTTTACCATTACTGGTTCTTGAATTTGACTCTTACAGAGAATTGTACACTAAAACATTTGGATTACTACAATCTATATCCTATTACTAAAAACAATTACCTTTGAAAACGCCACTTGGCAAAGAATACCCATACCATTGAAGACGCCACCTGGCGTCATGTTTGTTCCAATAAAAACTTCGTTCTTCTCTCCGCCACTGTCAAATTCCAAAACTCTGTCGCTTCGTTTCTTAGCTTCGCAACAGTCAGATCCGCAAGCTCCGCCGCTGCGTTCTTAAGCTGCCGCGCTTCGTTCTTCTCTCCTACTCCTAACAATTGCCCTCCCCCCCGCGCCCCCCATTAATTGTTTTACCCTTTCTTCAATTCCCAAGATCTCCTTTCACCCATAGCCGTTCTTTCCCCCGTTCTTCATTTCCCAAGATCGGCTCTTCGTTCCTAGGATCTCAGAAATCACCTTCAACTCCCCAAGTCGTCTGTTCGACTCCGTCGCCTAGAGAAATCGTTATCTGCCTCGATCACCCAAGCGTCGCCGAAGGATGATACGCATATATAGAAAGCCTCAGATTCTCATCCCCACCTCCCTTATTTCCACAGAAGACTATCGGCAAAACCCTTAGCGAAGACTGAAATTGGTCGACGGTGTCACTGGAGGCGAAGGTCGTCGACGTCACTGGCAGTCGACAGGTCAGTTTACTGAAACCCTCAAAAATTGTTACCGATGTTGTTAAATTTACTTTCATCGAAATTTTTATCATATATTGTGAAATTTGATAAAGCTGAGCCTTTTGGTACTCAACATGACATACCTTAAGGATGAAAATTTGATTGTGACAAATTGGTTATAGTAAGCGTGAGCAATAACCGACAATGTTTGTATGAATCTACATCAATCTGCTTTTGCATGATAAATTAATTTTACAAGAGCTTTCTTGATCTACATATGCTAATTATATGATATCGTGATCCTATATTTTAAACTTTTTAAATTGTTTGGAAATGTGCTCTTTGACGGTGATCATTCTTAAAATATTATATTTTAAACTTTTTAAATTGTTTGGAAATGTGCTCTTTGACGGTGATCATTCTTAAAATATTATAATTGATGAGTCTCTTTTGGAAATGTGCTCTTTGACGGTGATCATTCTTAAAATATTATAATTGATGAGTCTCTGTTAATCTAATAACTGAAGCTCAAGGCACATTGTGTCAACTCTTTCATAAGATACTTATAATTTTAAACTTATAATGATAGCAAAGGATGTACCTGACAATGTGATAGTGGAGAATCTGACTTCTGAAGGAGATCATTGTGACAACTCTTTCATAAGATACTTATATGGTGTTGTTGATTTTGGTCAGACTGAGATTTTAGTCAGACTGCCCTATCTCATTGTTTCCTACGAACCAAAAAGATGGAAATAACAACTATGGTATATATACTAAAGAATCGCCAACAATTTAGAGGTTATTTACAACAGGTTTAAGTAGTACTTGACTGGTCTAAGATAAAAGCACATTAGACATTGGCTACGAACTAGGCAAGTTGTTGTTGCCAGGATGCAGTTGACATTGCTAGGAATGAATAGATTGCATCCTATAATAAAACACTTTATCCTACATTAAGTGTGTCCATGTAAAAAAATATTTACAGTTCAGTTGAAGCAATGCAATTCTTTTTTAAAATGCAACTATTAGAGAATAAACAAGAATTGCCTTATGGTCATTATTATCGTTAATTGGGTGATGTATTTTCAATTTTTTTATTTGTTATGTTGCGCTTAGCTGATCAATTGACTGTGCACCAGTAGTATCAAACATAAAGTTGAGTTTATCATTGTTTTTCTTCTATGACTTCGTAATTAACCCATTCACTATAGTGCATAATACATAGAGGAAAAGGAGTAATTTTTGTGGATTCATGTCCACTTTTGATATGCTTTTATTGGTTGGAACTTCCAACAATAGTAATTAACCCATTCACTTCGTATTTTTTTGTCTCTGTTCATACACATAGCCATCCACGCCTCAAATATGAGTGATTATACTAATATGTCTTTTCTTCACTCACAAAATTTTTGGAGATTGGACGAGGAATATTATTCTGTTGCATGAGCTACTAAGCTTCAACTGCATAAAATACGTGCTAGGATTTCTTAGCCACAAACTGGCATTCTGGGTTTTGTGGAAACAGCTTCAACTGCATAAAATACGTGCTAGGATTTCTTAGCCACAAACTGGCATTCTGGGTTTTGTGGAAACTGAGGAGTTTCCTTTTTCTTCATCTTTTCGTTTCTTAGCCACAAACTGGCATTCTGGGTTTTGTGGAAACTGAGGAGTTTCCTTTTTCTTCATCTTTTCGGCTAGATGAATGTGCGACCAAATAGGTCTGTCAAATTGTTGGCATGTTGTAAAATTTATTAAATCCATAGTAGGTTTCTCTGTCAGATACGTTTCTCTGTTGTGACCATTTTGATGGCTATGACAGCCACAGGTGGTGATTATTATTACAAGGTGAAGTAATATATATTACTTAATTTGTAGATATATCTTATAAGATATAATTACAGTGAGGTTTTATGCGAATGCATTAATACAACTTGTAGATATAACTTATAAGCTTATATTAATGCTAATTTTTTATGCCAATATGTTGGGCTTTATGCTGGTTTGGGTAGTAATGTGATTTTGGTTAACTTTCCATATTATCTTCCAAGTTTCAAATTCTTACAAGTTGCTACATTCAGGCCACTGTAGTATCATATCACTTGGTATTCGAAGACCTTCACGTTAAAGAGTTATTCACTATTCAAATTTGTATATAACATATTGTTCCTAATCTTTTGATGATTGCAATTCTTAATGTTGCTTTTTATTAATTATTTCTCTACTTTGAGATAATATTAGTGCCTTCATTATGTTGAGTAAAAATGGATGTTAATCACTAAAATTGCACTTGATACTGACTATCAATGTGCCTTAAGTATGGTGGCTAAGGTATCTGATTCTCTTTGTAGGTTCTCACTTTTTAACTGCCCAGACAATTTCCTTCGAGTTTGAATGCATATTCAAGTTCTCTTTGTACAATTTTCTCAAGGAGAGGTTCTTAAAAGAGCTGCCTTTTGTTCTATTTAGTAGCTCTTTATTTCTTGGAACCGCACCTTTCTGTACATGTGTCACAAATTACGTCAATCATCCTTGATAGTTGTACTTTCAACAACCTTACTCTTGTCGATGATACTTTTGTTGCCATATAAATTTTCCCTTGCCCCCGATCATTTTCATTGCCCCCAATCATTTTTATTATCTTTTGCTGTAGTTTAATACTGATGAAGTTTGAACAGCTTTGGTCTTTAATTACTTGGTTTTCTGCACAAGTGGTAATCATGTCGATATTAGTTATAAGGATGGGAGTTTCTTTGGTGCTCTTTTAGCATAATATTTCCTATGTATGGAGCAATAAAGTTAGTTATAAGTACTTTTAGAAGTGCATGGCTGTAAACTTAAAGGTCTTTTGACAATTTGTATTAGTTGTGAGAGATCTGGTGCTGAAGTTATGTTGTCAGGAGTAATAGTATGTCATCTCGATATATTACAAGATATTATTACAGGTGGTGATTATTATTACAAGATATTATTATAGGTGGTGATTATTATTAATGCATTCACATGTAAGGAATTTCATATCAACTTGAATTCAACCCTCTCGAAATAGCCTGTTTTATGTCATGCTTAATTACTTTTTTTAGTATTTCTCTCTTCTGTGATCAATGTTAAATTTTGGTTTGCATATTTCTTTCCAATTTATATGTGGACCTTCATGCCACAATACATTACTTTCTATGTTAATATCTTCTGTATAAATAGTTTTCTTTCCAATTTCTATGTGGCGTCATGTTTGTCAAACTACTAATCTGCAACCGAACATGCTACAATCTATACGCCGATTGGTGTCCAAAACTAAGAAAAAAATTATTATTTAGTTGTTTTTTATTATTGAGATGGCCACAGAAATTGTTCTTAATAGAATTTTTGTGTTTTTTTAAA